TGGACTACAAGTCTCTGAAAATAGATCTGTTGTTTTAAGGCACCAATTTGTTACAGCAGCCGTAGAAAATGAATACATTTTTCTTTTGCTCTTGCTCTTTCAGGCTCTGGATGGTAGTTTGATGCTACCACCCACATGCTAGTATTAGATGCTAGTGTTCCACTCTCCTTTGCTGGTTCCCTCTCTTGGTTAAATTTTCTTCAGTTAAATTAAGTATGATCATTAGTTTCTGCCTGGGGCACTGCCGAGAAGTGGAGTGAAAAGGGACCACATAAGAAGTGGCCCCTGAAAATATCTTCCTTCATCAGTAGACGCGCTCCTTGTTTCCTGGTCTTCTTGGGCAGTGCCATAACTGTGGCTCCAGATTTCTCTTGGCCCCAAAGTAATCTGCTCAGAACTACATTGCCCAGAGACCTCAGTAAGGATAAATTCTCTTGGACCTGGATCTTGAGCCTTTATGCTTTCTCACCAGTCCAAGATGGAGATGAATGCCCTCACCCCCATTCAAGGGTGAGTTCATCCATGGCCCAGGCACCCATCTGAGCCCATCTGAGACAAAGGTGTGTCCAAGACAGGGTCTAGAATACAGGTTCCATCACACTTTGAGGTCATTCATACCATCTCCCCCCTCCCCCAAAACCATCTTCCCAAGGACAAATCCAGAGAAAGAGAAACTTCTCTGACTTTGGTCTTGTCATAGGTTTTTCCTGGGAACCATTCTCTACCATTAGCTCGACAGATATACCACCACTAAATTTTAATATTTGCAGTTTATAGAGGAAAAAGGTAATTAATTTTTTTAAATGTCTTGCTACATCTCTTAAACCTTGAACTATAAACACTCTCCAGCACTAATAGACCACACAGAGAGCAAAGTAATTATTTGTGATTTAACATTATATCTTGTTTCAATGCAGCAAGTAGACGTGATTTTTATTTTTTTGGCCACACTGTGGGGCATGCAGACCAACCAGGGATAGAACCCACGCCCCTGCATTGGAAATGCAGTCTTTAAACACTGGACAGCCAGGGAAGTCCCATGTATACATGATTTTAATTTTTCAGGGTGTTTTTGTAGTTGAACCAGAATTTCTGCAGGGAAACAACTTGATTCCTAACACCTTTATGTGTTGAAACCTGAGCTTTAGTTCATGCAAAGACTCAGTCTGGGGTTGAGGTGCTATGGTTACCCACACATAGGCAGGTAGATTTTCCCCACTGAAAATTTGGTTCAGATGTCAAGTCTGATGACTCCCCACATGCTCCAATAGAGTATGAAAAGGTTTATTGTCCATAAATAAAACCTTTCTGGGGAGAGCACAACAGGCTCCCAAACTGGCCTGTTAATAGCCCGAGAGCAGGGAGGGATTTCCATATCAGGTTTATAGTGGATGGCGTTGGACTGGGATTGGGGTTCATGCATGTGAGCCAGGGATTGAGTGGTTTGAACACCCTCTACCCAAGCACCAAGGGAGGAAGCACCCAGGCTTGCATATTTAGCTTGCCCAGATAGGAAGCATAAGGGGAAAGGCGGGGGCTTGAAATCTGTCAGCAGTCAGTCATCAAAATATAAACAGACTCCATTACAGGTGGTGTTTTGCATGAAGGGTCAAGTAACTTATGGAAAATAATTCATCCTAAGGGAAATGAAGGTGGATATGTTCCAGGTGTCAAAGGCAGAGTGCCAATAGCTCAGGTCAAGGATGATTTTGAGTACCACATGCTGTCTCGTGTTATACAATCATCTTTCTTAGCTGCTTGAACTATAGAGAGATCAAGTAACATTTTTCAAAGTGCTCTGTCTTCAGCTATCTCTATTAGCCCCGAAAGGCAAACAGGGAGGCATCTCGACTTCTTAACATAGCTCTTTAAGCCCCCATGAACTCATATGACAGTATTCACAGGCCCTGTGTCCCTCTATTTTCTCAGTCCCTTCCTAATTTCATTTCCTTATCTCTCCAGCCTGGATGCTATAATTTACCTAGGGACTTGGGCCATGATTATGATCATGTTGACCTCTCCCCCCATCCATTTAATGTACTTTCCCTTCTTAACCTTCAACCAGTTAATCAATTATAAATACTTAGTGCCCAGCATTTGAGGTGGTAAGCCTAGAGGGTCATGCCTTCTTCCATTCTCTTTCTTCTTCCTCTTTACTATAAAATTAGGAGGCCCAGATTCCGTGGTTGGTTTATTCTTGATTAAAAATGTTCCCAAATTATCAAATCCACTAGAACATTTGGCTATGTTCTCTCCTGTTTTAACAGTCATACCATTTATACTGTTTCAAGGTCAACCTCTCCACTTGTATACTGAAGCTCACAGCATCTAGTCTCTAAAGGCTCAACCTAGGACACTGAGATACATATGAAAATTAGTATTAGACTTTTTTGCTAAACAATAGGGAATTCTTTGCTTCATAAAGAACTATCTGGCTTTTTTATTATTTCTGAGATCCTTTTATTTTTGAACAGCTTCAGTGGCTGTGAAGCCTCTAAGATAAACTGAATCCCTCTGCTCCTTTTCTGGACTAATTATAACGGAAGTTATAGGAAGGAAGAAGTTATGACTTCTAACTTCAAAATCTCCCCTTTAGATTTTAATTTGGCTCTACTCTTTTGAGTATGATGTTAAGGAAGTAATGTTAGTGTTATAGTTGGTGTTTATGGCATATAAATGACAAAATTAAGGAAAAAGTTTGAAACTTAAAATTACTCACTCTGCTCTTAAAATAGGAATAAGGAGGGAAGGTTAAGTACATGGCTAAGGGACAGATCAGGTGATAAAGGACCAAACCTTAGTTTACCACAGTGTATAAGTAGATTGGTATCTCTGAGAAACAGCAGCAATTGCAAATTCACCCACTTTGGGAAAACTCGGATAGCTAGCAGAGAGTTGTGAGATCGTGTTAAGTTCTGGAACCACACTGCCTGTCCCTTCTCCAGGCCTATATTGTCTGGGAGTGGTTAGCACACATCCAGTCTGAGAATATAAAGGCATGAAAGATCAGATTTGTTTTTAATAAAAGAATTAAGTTAGGCAGTGATCACACATTCCTAGTGTTCTGGGTTTGATCTGACCCTTACCTATGAAGAGATCAAATTAAAGGAACAAAGTAAAATCTTCCAAGGTTAGTGAGAAATTCCGAAATAAATTCTGTTCCCTCATATGGGAATCAGTGTGGTAAAAGAACAAGAGTCTTCTTGTTCATTCCAGACAAACTCTGGTGCTTTCTACTTGGGTATCTCCTTTGAAACAGGAGGACCCTTCACCTGGATACAGAAACTTCATTTCCTCATGCCGTGGGAGTGGCTCAGATCCCAACCAAAGTGTATCCTACAACCTGAGATCCATTCCTCTCTGCCAGTGTCTACCTCTCTGCTGTGGAATAAATAAAATCCCTACATAAGGAAAGCCTTGAGAAATTAAGAAATACCAAGATGACATTTCTTCAAGGATGTTTCAAAACAACAGAAAAAAGTCTCGCGATTTAAATGGCTACTTTATTTCCTGAATTCTGTTCTTCACTGCCTAGCATCTTCATTTAAGGAAATGACAAAAATCTGATGCAGCTCACTGGCATTATATAAGCAAAAATAACTAGATTTTTTTCACTTGAAGTGAGCTACAGCACTCTCCCCCCCAAACCTCCTTTGTGGGAAGAGTCTGGAACCCCTTTATATAAATAACGATCAATTTCAGTGCTACCTTTTGTTCTCAGAGCTCCCCATTCTCTCAAGGCCAGGCTAGGAAATTGTCAATTGCTCCTAAAAAAGCTGACCACGTAATCAGACTGTATTTGGAGAAAATATGAGGGTCAATCTCTTTATGGCTAGATTCACATTTATTTCTGGTTCAAATGTTATTTTGACCAGGGTTGTCACAAATGGCCATGCAACCAATGGGCGACCCATCTTCAGGAGTGTCACTCATTGTCATCTGCTTATGGTATCAGGTGGCCAAGGAAAAGCAGACCATTATTTTACACAGCCATTTAATTTCTGCACTTTGGTAAGGAAACAAATTGACCTTACCTCTCAAAGTTTGAGAATTCAATTTACAAAGCAAACTAACAAAGTTACATTATGTGTATGTAATAGCTACCTGTGAGCTTCTAGGAGTAGCTACAAGGAGGTACTAAGGGAGTGAGTACTGAAGTCTAATCCAGTTGTTTTTTCCAGGGTACATATTAGGAGTTTAAAAAAGATACTCCCTGGGCCAATCAGTTACTGGGGGTGGAGTCTTGGCAACAGAATTTTATAAAGTTACTTAAGTGATTTCACTATGTAACTAGGGTTAAATAGCACAGGTGTAAGCTGTAGTAGAGGGTCTATATAGTTGTGATAAACTTCTAGAATGTTAAAACATACCAGAACAGAAAATAATAGGAAGATTTAATACCTGTACTGACTTAAGTGAGCCATTATATGCTCCTGAATTGTTAATTTGAGGGTATTTTACAATTCTTTTATTAGGAACCAGGTACTTAAAGAACTTGAATGTGTTAGAACAGGAGCATAACAGACCTCCAGTCTACTTGCTGAAACATAAATGCTTTCTATTAGTAAAACATGCATAAATACATATACTCTAGATGCAACACAGCAAAATGCTGATGGGTAATAATCCTATTCAAGAATATATTGTGAACATACAAAACTGAATATAAAACTCCAAATGACCTCCTAAATGACCTACTCCAAATCCCTCAGTTCACAGAGGAAACTGAAGCTTAAAATGGCTGAATTTGCCAATGTCACAAAATTGCTTAACAACATAATTGGATTATTTCAGCCCAATGTACTTTCGATTCCACAGCACAACAGCAAAAAGTAAAAGTATTTTCAGCAGTTTCTCAATCCATCCTGATTCTTCTGTGTTGAACAAAAGGACAAACCAGAGTAAATGCATCCCCGAATAAATGCATCCCCTATGTTTAGGGTGATCCTAGAAGAGTCATATGCCAGGGTGCAGTCTCTGATGTTTGTTGAGAGCAGAACGGTATCTGAAGGCTTTTCCACAATCATTGCATCCAAAAGGCTTCTCTGCTGAATGAATCCTCTGATGCTGAATGAGGTAAGTACTCTGGCTGAAAGTCTTCCTGCATTCATTACAATTGTAAGGTTTCTCTCCAGTATGAGTATTCTGATGTTCAGTCAGATGAGTGCTCCGGCTAAAGGTTTTGTCACATTCATTGCACTTATAGGGCTTCTCTCCAGTGTGAATTCGCTGATGCTGAGCCAGATGGGAGCTCTGGCTAAAGGCCTTTTCACACTTATTACAATGGTAGGGTTTTTCTTCTGTGTGTGTTTTTTGATGTTGAGCAAGAGATGAACAATGTCGAAAGGCTTTGCCACATTCAGCACACTCATAAGGCTTTGCTCCTGTGTGAATTCTCTTATGCTGTGTAAGGTGTATGTTCTGGTTGAAGGCTCGCCCACATTCATTACACTTGTAAGGTCTTTCTCCAGTATGTATTTTCCTATGCTGAATAAGGGATGAGCCGTAACTGAAGGTTTTCCCACATTCGTGACACTGATAGGGTTTCTCACCAGTATGAATCCTTTCATGTTTAGCAAGAGATGAACTTCGAATAAAGGCCTTCCCACATTCCTTACATTCATAAGCTTTCTCTTGGGTATGAGTTTTCTGATGTTGATGAAGGTTTGAGAGATAACTGAAAGCCTTTCCACATTCACTGCATTCAAAAGGCTTTTCTCTGGTGTGAATTCTCCGATGTTGAGTAAGGGATGAGCAGTAACTGAAGGCCTTTCCACATTCATTGCATTTGTAAGGTTTTTCTCCAGTATGAATTTTGAGATGTTGAGCAAGGGATGACCAGTAACTAAAGGATTTTCCACATTCAGCACAATCATAAGGTTTCTCCCCAGTATGTGTTTTCTGATGCTGAGTGAGGTTTGAGTGCTGACTGAAGGCTTTACCACATTCATTGCACTCATATGGTTTTTCCCCAGTATGAATCATATGATGACGAATAAATGTTGAGGGTCCATTGAAAGCCTTCCCACATTCATTACATTTATAGGTTTTCTCTCCAGTATGGATTTTTTGATGTTGAGTAAGGTGTGTGCTCCTGGTAAATGTTTTATCACATTCGTCGCATTTAAAAGGTTTTTCTCCTGTATGGATTTTCTGATGTTCCATGAAATGGCCTCTCTGGCTAAAGGCTTTTCCACACTCATTACAAGTATATGGTTTCTCACCAGTGTGTATTCTCTGATGCTGAACAAGGTGGGTTCTCTGACTAAAAGCTTTCCCACATTCATCACACTTATAGGGTTTTTCTCCAGTGTGAATTCTTTGATGTTGAGTAAGAGATGGACCCTCAATGAAGCCTTTCCCACACTGATCACATTTGTATGGTTTATCTCCAGTATGAATTCTTTGATGGTTTATAAGGTTTTCGCTCCGGCTGAAGGCTTTTTCACATTCATTACATTTGTAGGGTTTTTCTCCAGTATGTGTTCTCTGATGGCGAATAAGAGCTGAACAATAAGTAAAAGCTTTCCCACATTCATTGCACTTACAAGACTTCTCTTTTTTAACTGGGTTTAAATTCTGTTTGACACTTGGTTTAGTAGAGGTCTGTTTTGGAGATTTTTTTGTGTGTGTTAAAAGGTCTAAACTCACATTGATCCTTTTTTCAAAGTCATTATTTACATGTGCTCGCTCCAAAGTTGGTATGGTCTTTTCAGTTATTTTTATTTCCCTTGGCAGTGTCTGTTCATTTGCCTGCTGCCTCTCTGGACTGCGTTTGGATTCACAAGTTTCTAAGAAGTTGGTGCTCCAAGGATCATCCCTTTTGTGCTTTTCTGCTACTGCCCCTGGAGATGGCCCTTCTCCAGAAATGTCCAGCTCTGAGGCTGTTATGCTATTTTCTGGTCTTGTCACCCAGTCTGAAAGAAAAAGAAAATGTCAACATTCTCTGAATTGAGGGGGGAAAAGAAAAACAACAACAAAAGTGTTACTGTGGGGATGACCTAATGAAACAAAAACAAAGCCCTCAGGGAATTCTGAGAACTTTCAAATACAGCCCTATTATTTGGGGAGAAATTTAGAAAGAGCTAAGGAGAATGATAAATAAAATATGAGAGCAGCAAGAGACTGCCTAATTTAATTTCACAGATAATCTCTACCAGGAAGGGAACTCCATTTAAGGTGACAGTAAATTTAGAGAGTGAACACAGACATAGCTAAGAGGAGACAAGATGGACTGAATCTAAAAAGGGCAGTCTGAACAGGGATTCCTTGCCAATGAACAACAAAACAAAAACTAAGAACCATGATTTTAAGATAAGACAAACAGAAGATATGACTTGGGCTCCATGGTTTATAGCCTAGAAAACTGAAGCAGTAGCTGTATCACTGCTAGAAGTGAGAAAGTTGTAATAGTAAAGAAAATAATTTAGGTGGAGGAAGAGGACAAGGTCAATCCTAGGCATTTTGAGAATTAGGAAGAGAAAAGGAGGACTAGACTATAATGGTGTTTGAGGGGATGGAAGATGCCAAAAGTAGCGAAATAACTAAAATGTTCAAATATAGGAGAGAAACTATCAGCTCAAAAGAGGAAGGAAAAGGATAGCTAAAGACGTAAGAATGTATGTGAAAAAAGAGCAGTGATAAGGAAAGATCCTTGAGCGTTTTGTGTAATGGATGAATAATATATACTAATCAAAGAAAGCAGTTTTCAGCAAACAAGCAAAAGAATATAAGAAACCAGAAAAGTACATAATCAGGAAGTAGAGTTACACTATTCTGCTGAATACTCTGGGATAGTTTGCCTTGTGCCAAGACAAGAAAGATGATAGGATAGTCAATGTTGGCAGATTTAGTAAAGAAAAAAAGGCTGTATTTCAAACAGCATTTCTTTGGTTCCACCAGTAACAGGAAGGTACAGTAGACCCCCAGCAAACCCTGAATCACCTGCCAGCCCAGCTGTGATCATCACCATTATCACCGCAAGCATGAAGAGCAGGGCAGGGAGCCAGAGCTGCCTGCCATGCTCTCCATACCTGGAACCATGGGTAATGGCGTAGCACCTATCAGCAAGAAGGGCAGGCAGCCTCCTAACAGCAATATTTCTCTAGCAGGGACAAGAAGATTAATGCAAAACAAGTTTGGGGGGGAGCAACCAATCAATATAAGAAATGGATATGTTTTCCACAACAAAACTGACGCTAAGAAGGATATACTTGTATAGTGAATGAAAAGCACTCAGTCGTGTCTGACTCTTTGAGACCCCATGGACTAAACAGTCCATGGAATTCTCCAGGCCAGAATACTGGAGTGGGTAGCCTTTCCCTTCTCCAGGGGATCTTCCCAACCCAGGGATCAAACCCAGGTCTCCCGCATTCCAGGCGGATTCTTTACGAGCTGAGCCACAAGGGAACTACTACTTGTATGGTAGATAACCATCAAAAGTACCTCCTGGAAGTACTTAACAGGGAAGGATATGGAGACCATGGAGTCATATGCTGTTAAAGGCAAAAAGAGTGTAGAAGTGACTGATCTTGAGCCAGGTTGGAGTTCCAGATGAACTCCAACATAAATATATATGCAACAGACTGACCAATATTATCCACATTGTCATACTGTGACAATGCACTAACCAAGAGTAACCAGAGTATCAGGAGTGGGATAATGAATGAAAGATTGGAGAAAATTCCAGAAGGCCAGACTGAACAGTACCACTCCTACCGCAGGAAGCAATTTTCACTTGACTATACAGTATGCAAAGACAATGGGCAATGACCACAGTATATTCCGACACCCTGTGCGTGGAGAGATAAGAGAGGGTGCTGACATTCAGGCTGCAAAAGAATAAGGTAGACTAGTAAGACAGAATATGTGTGCATATATAAATAGATAGATAGGTAAATAAATAAATATCTGTATCTATATATCTCACAATCCTGCAGGGGCCAAGTCACCAAGACAGCTCAGAGAAGACGGTAATTAAGAGGACAGGAAAATGATGCAGACAAGGGCTTGGGCCAGTGGCCACCTCATTGTAACTTTCCAAAAGTTAACAAACTGTAAACATAAGTTAATAAAGCTCTTATTTTTTAAAATTTTGTTTTTCAAATTGTGTTCCATGAAACCATCTTTTAAAAGAAAGAATTTAAAGGTGCAATATAAAAAACAAACCAAAGTCATGGTTAGGAGGATGGGGGAGAGAATTGTTACATTCTATGCAACTCTTGGAAATTCATAATTCCCAACTATGTAAAGAAAAAATAATCTCTGAGTGGTTCTCTAATAAGAAACCTGCTAAAGGACTTCCCTGGTGGCACGATGGATGAGAATCCACCTGCTAATACAGGGGACATGGGTTGGCTCCCTGGTCTGGGAAGATGCCACATGCCATGAAGCAAGTAAGCCCATGTGACACAACTACTGAGCCCGTACTCCAGAGTCCACAAGCCAACACCACAATGGGAACCTGTGGTCTGCTACAAAGACCCTGCACAGCCAAAAAAAAAAAAAAGAGAGAACGAAACCTGCTAAAATTTAGCTAATTCAGCACTTCCCAAATTTGAACACTGCATGCTTTTTTCTTCCCCATAAAAAAGGACCCCCTATGCCTACCTCATTACTTCTGAAGATATATTCCTTACCTAAAGTGTCTTAAGTTTCTATATTTTTTCAGAGTCAGATCTTTGAGGAGGTCTCTCTGTGCAGTTTAAGAATCAAGGTTTAGAAGAAAGTTATTCATAATGTCAAGGACAGGACAATACTGTGTAGGATAAGAAGTCACATAATGAGATTAAGGCAGGAATAGGTATGAAAAAAAATGATGTCTACAGGTATGAAACTCACTTTTGCAGAATCTGGTTGGGAAAGCAAAAAGGCAGAGTGAATGGTGGCCAGATAGATTAACAGTGTTGAGTAAAAGTATCTGGAATTTAGGCACCTATTTCTGTTTGAAGGTACTGGGGATAGAGCCTAGAGATCCAAAAAAAAAACTGTAAGGACTGAAAAGTACTAATAATTATAAGACTTGGGTCCCAAAGGAGGTTGAGAAAGGAGAGAATCCATATTCCATGTCAAGAAGTTGCTTTCAGAAAAAAGCAGGAAGAACACGTCCTTTGAAAAGAGTATAAAAATGTGTATGTATTCACATGTTGAGACATTTAGTATTTTGACAACACATAAGAGAGTACAGACACCTTCATTCTCCACAACAGACACTTTAAGGAGAGGCAAGTACATCTGCATTTCAGATGTAAAATCCTCTCATCAGGCTGGTGGTCAGAGTTAACAACATTCATCTGCCGGGTATCCATTACTTACCTCCAGGGGTCCCTACTGGGATGCTGGGCTCCACAATCCACGGCTCTGTCCCTTGCTCTAACTGGGAAATCACATCAGGTTTGGAAACTTGGAGTCCTATTCATTGGAATAAAAAAAAGTTACCTTTCTGCAGTGAGAGAAAAGTGCCCTCTCAGAGTTCATTCTCATCACTTTGTCTTTAGAGGAAAGAAGAGGTGGACAAATAAGATGGAAGTAAAATATATACAAAGCTTCGATGTCATATGTTCCCAAATGTGGTATAACTTGGGAACTGATCTGGGTTCAGCAAGATTATTAGTTTGTCCTTCTACTTACTAGAGAGTGAGAGTGAAAGTCACTCAGTCGTGTCCGACTCTTTGTGACCCCATGGACTATACAGTCGATGGAATTCTCCAGGCCAGAATACTGGAGTGGGTAGCCTATCCCTTCTCCATGGGATCTTCCCAACCCAGGGATCAAACCCAGGTCTCCCACATTGTAGGCAGATTCTTTACCAACTGAGCTATGAAGGAAGCCTACTAGAGAGTAGAAACCTTTTCAAAACCTTTAGAACTTTAGAAGTCTTTGGTTCCTTAACTGAAAGGAAAAAACTCACCTAAGTACATGAGTTCCCTCCTCCTCCATACCTCCAGATATTAACTCAGAAAAGTCATCCTTACCTATAGAGACCAGATGTGTATAGTTCTCCAATGTCACATCCCTGAATAAACCTCTCTGTACGGGATCCAGCTGTTTCCATTCTTCCTGGGTAAAGTCCACTATCACATCCTTGAAGGTCACTGATTCCTGGAAGACCAGACATATCTCTGCTTATCATTTACCTAGGAAGGGGGCAAATTTAGCTATACTGATAGAAGTAAGGGAAGTTCTGGGCTATCTGAGAAATGATTTTGATAATTCCTCCTTTGCAAAATGAATATAAAAACAGAATCTGACTCATAGGATTACTGTAAGAATTAAGTAAGAAATGTTTGCTATCAAATGCTTAATTTAGGGTCCAGCAAGTGCTCAGTCAATGTTGACTGCTGTTGTATTGATCTTCATAATTATCATCATCATCATCTCTGTGTTCCAAGATATCTCAAGTATCAAGAGTAAACCTACTAACATCAATAAGACATTTTACTACTGTAAGTGCAAGAACAGCCAAAAATGTGTTTTAAAGAATCTGGGGAGGGGACTTACCCTACCACATTTCAAAATATACTAAATAACATAGTAAAGTGTACTGAAAGATAAAACAGACTGGTCTAGTATGGAATAAAACTCAATGAAAAACAGACAACCCTAAAATACATCTTTGTTTATAAGAACTAAATGGGATTCAACAACTTTCAAAGTAGCTTTGAGAAGGTGGATTAGTCACTAAATGGTGTCATAACAAATAACTGTCCATTTGAGAAAAAAATAAACTGAGTTCCCTACTTCATGGCCTCACAAAAATATCTGCTGGATTAGGCATTAAATTTTAAAGAAAAAGCAAAACTAATAGAATAAAAGACATAAAAATACTTTCATAAGCTTGATATATGGAAAGCAAAAATTATGAGAGATTGACAGATAAAACTACATAAAATGTAAAGCTTCTGTAAAAAGCCATAAACAAAATGCAACATTCTGAGCTCCTGCAAATAGCAAAATGGATGAAAGATGAACAACCTACAACAATAACAAAAAAGGCCAACAACCCACACAGATAATTCATCTAAGGCATTAAAACCATGAAAATATGCTCCATTCCAAGAAAAACATCATAAAACAATGAGATATCAGATTAGGGAACACAGCTGAAAATGCTCATGTGTATTACTGTGGGAAGAGAACCCTAATGCAATCCATCCAGGGGCAGTCTGCCAGGATCTATCAAAACTTTAAATGCATATATCATTCAAGCCAAGTTTGTAGCTTGTAGGAATTTATTCTCTAGAAACACCCTGGGATGCAAAAATATATGTAAAAATATCCTTGCAACATTGTTTGTGAGGAAAAAGAGTAAACTTAAATGTCCATTAATAGGACAGTGGTTAAAGAATTCATGATACATCCATACAAAGCAGTTCATGCAGACATTTTAAAAATAAAGTGTATCAAAAAATAAATATGCACAGATTAGGAAATGTATGTCATAGTAAAAATGACATACATGGTATTACACCATTTTTATTTTTATGAATAGGAAAGTTTGTATGTTAATGCACAGAGAAAAAGCTAAAAGAATACACTACCAAATGTTATCAGTGCAACTCTAGTGGGACTCAGAGGCAATGCAGGGGAACTTCCTGAGCAAATGAGTTAATTTTGTTTTAAAACAGATAAATTATTGGGACTTAAAACCATGACAGAGCAACTGGACTAGCTTTCCCAGTGTAAACACTATAAAACTCCACAATATAACTGAAACAAGGGTTTTAGTACTTTGAAGAGCAGACAGAACAGAACTGTGATCCCTAAGAGAGAAAATCACATGAGCTCCTCAGATCCTTCAGTGTCCTGTCTGGAGGCATCTCCAGACTGCAGAGCAGGGAGCAGAACCTGAGCAAGGCACAGTGATCTTCCCAAACTAAAGAGACACAGGTGGCAGCTCAGGATTACAAATGCAGGGGATTTGCAGGATAGATACTAGGGACAAGGGAGATGCACAGAGGAGCAGCTCCAAAAATCTGGTGTAAATACCTTCTTCACAGGCAATAACAAGTTACCAACATGACACAACTGAACCCAGAGTTAAGATGATATGAGCAATCAGCTCCCACCAACAGTTCCAATGCACCTTAGAAGCAGGAAAGTTTAGCCTGTGAGGAAAGAGTTAAAGCAGCAAGTTCCGTTTGCTCAATCTTTGCTAATTTCCAGGGACATTTGGATCCATGTTTCTGAACCTTAAACAAGCTCTGAAAATGAATGTTTATATAGTTAATGACTGACGAAGTTATTGTGTGTCTGGAATACTGGGGCAGGATGTACCAGACTGTCAGCATTGTTTAAAGTTATACGTGAAGATTTATGATGCACATGTGGTGCCCAGTTTGAGGCCTGCACCAGGACTAGTTAACAGCCACAAGCGAGCACACACAGATGTGATCAGCTCCCTTTTAAGAACTCTGGACTTAAAAAAGAGACTCAAGCAGACTTCCTTGATGAGAGACATTTCTCATGTCTCTGTGGGCAACAGCAAGAGAGAAAGTACAGCCTGATTTCTTTGGAGCCTTATAAGTATGTGTTTCCTTCTGATCCTACTGTGTATCTTTTGTGGCCATGATCTCTATTCCTGAGTTATGGTGCTGGGGTGGATGAATCATCCGAGCAAATCACTGAAGTAAATGGTGGTCACAGGGACCCTGAAAACACAGCCCAATAGTAAGACTACACTAGATCAGCCCTAGCAAAGCTTACAGTGCAAAACCAAAACTCAAAAAGATCAAGCTGTGGCTGTGGTGGGATTAACAGGATTGGATTTACCCTCCTGCATTAAATAACCAAAAAATTCTAGACAAAATGTATGAAACAAGTTTCCAAGGCACTGAATCTCAGATAACAAAGAACAGTGATCTCCATGAATAAGGAAACAAATGAAGTGAGCCCTACAACTGCTCCAGCTTACTGCTTTGAGAGTTTCCAGGCAGGGGTGCAGGGAAGGGGAATTCAAGAGCCACCCTGCAGATTCTCTGAACTGAAAAGATAATGCTGAGTTTGAGGAAGTCAAGGTGACTAGAGTTCACAGGACAGAGTACTATATGGAAGGGAGTTACACAAGAAAGAAGCAATGAGAACTGCAGAAACTCTCCTAAACCCTCTGGACTACATATATTTTTTGTTGATTCTCCGTTTTCCATGGTACTCACTTCACCTTTTTAATATTTATATTTTTGTAGCAGTCATTTGGTCTATTCAGGTAAAATATCAAGTTTTGCTCTCTCATCGCTGGCAAATGGCAAGATGTAAGCAAGAAGTTAAGTGATGAATATATTAGTCAAGCTGGAGAGGCAGAGTTAGGAAGAAAGTGGTTGGCAAATCGGAGCCCAGAATGAATTGCCAACATTGGTTGTTAGATAAACACACGTCACACCAAAAGAATACACAATTCCTCTCTAAGGACTGAAATGTAACGGAAATCTCAACTTACCTGAAAACTAGCTGATGGGAGTAAAGTATGTCCCCCTTGGAAAAGGGCAGACTCTGGAGCAGACGGATCTAGCGGAGGGAAAAGAAACTACAATGAATCCTGTCCAAGTTAGCTATAAATTCCACTTATTTTTTCTACATGAAAACAGCAGGAACTATACCATTTCCTTCTAAACACAAAAAACACAAGGTAACTGCTGACTAGGACCCTGGTACTTTCATCAGCAGACTTAGGAAGTAAAGAATTACTTTAAGCTTCACTTTTGCCCCTACATACTTAAAGTCACTTTCATCATACAACTTAATCCATATTCTTCATTAAGTGATGCAAAATATTTCTGCTGCCTTCTGACAATGTACATGTATAAAGGGAATTTCCCTGTAACATCCCTTTAACATGTATCCACTGTGGCAGTCTGGATTGGAGTTTGGTGAAGAATGGATACATTCCCTTTATACATGTACATATTTTCTGCTACATATAAAATATAAATTAACAATCAGATTACTTTCCAAAAGTCTCCCCCTCACCCTTTGAAACTTTGCTATTAATACAAATTAAATATCACAATGACATATACTTAGTTACACTACCTACCCACCAGAGTGTCTAAAATTCAATAGACATGGTCAGTACTAACTACTGGCAAGAATACAGAGATTAGAACTTCTGTACATTGCTGTGGGGCCAATCATTAGACAAACTGGGAGCATATATGAAAGATATACACATACCTGCTCTATGACTCCACAATTCCACTCCTACACATATAGCCAGAGAAATGAGGAGTTATGTTCACCAAAAGACTTGTACAAGATTGTTCATAGAAGGTTTATTTATAATATACCCAACTCAGAAAGAATCCAAATGGCTTTCAGCAGAATGGGTAAACTGCGGTATATTCATACAATAGAATAGTATTCCAAAATATAAAAGGATGCTTTACCTAACAACATGGGTATATTTCATAAACAATATTGAGCAAAATAAGACAAACACAAAAGAATACATACTATATGAGTACATTTGCAGGCATACCTCATTTTATTGTGCTTTACTTTATTTGCACTTCTTAGACACTGGGTTTTTTTTTTATTTTTCTTTTTACAAATTAAAGGCCTGTGGCAATCCCATATTGAGCTAGTCTATCAGCACCATTTTTTTCCCAACACATTTGCTCACTTCATGTCTGTGTGTCACATTTTGGTAATTTTCAACAATATTTCAAACTTTTTGTTATTACTGTATTTTTTATGGTTATCTGTGACCAGTAATTTTTCATGCTACTACTATAACTTCCTAAAGGCTCAGATGTTTAGCATTTTTTAGCAATTACCTATTTTTTTTAGATTAGGTATATACATTTTTTTACACATAGTGCTTTTTGTACACTTAGACAACAATATAGTATAAACATAACTTTTTTATATGCTCTAGGAAACCAAGAAATTCATGGGATTGTTTATTTCGATATATGATTTATTACAGTGGCTGGAACTAAACCCATAATATCTCTGAGGTGTGCCTGTATATTAAATTCAAAAACTTAGAAGAGTGGTTACCTCTGGAGGGCTACTGACTGACAGGCACACAAGAGAGACTGCTGGGGCAACAGAAGTATTCAGTATCTTAGTGTGGAAGGTAGTTACACTGTATATAATATATAAAAATTAATAAAGTGGTATGCTCAAGTTCATGCACTTAACGTAGTAACTTAAACATCAATAAACAAAATGAAAACAAACTTTGCTCTTGGGAGGTCTATTCAGAGTAATGGTTGACATGAAAGTCCAATTCTCAAAAAGGAGAGGAAACAATAAAAGCAACTGTTATTCCAGGCTTCATTTTGACCAGTAATGGAAAAGAAATTTTGTAAAGAAATCTTGAGGAAAAAAAAAATGAAGATTTTTTTCATTGAAGATTTTAACAATAAGAGGAAATGTACACAGACAGATATGTAACCCCCGAAAAAAACAAGTGAGACAACATCAAACTAAAAAGCAAAAGAGACAATTTGTAAAATAAAAGGACAACCTATGGAACGGTAGAAAACTTGCAAATCATGTATCTAATAAGTGGCCAGTATCCAGAATATATAAGGAACTCATACAAATTGATAGCTAAAAAAACCAAATAATCCAATTTAAAAATGGGCAGAGAACCTTAATAGTTATTTTTCCAAAGAAGACATACAAATGGCCGATGTATATGAAAAGGTCCTTGATATCACTAGTCATCAGGGAAATGCAAATCAAAACCACAATGAGATATCACCTCAGAGATGTTAGAATGAATATTATTACAAAGACAAGAGATAAATGTTGGTGAGCATGTGGAGAAAAAGGAACCTTTGTCCACTGTTAGTGGGAATGTAAACTGGCATGGCTGCTATGGAAATGTAAATATATACCATATTTTCTTTATCCATTTATCCACTAATGGGCACTAAGGTTGCTTTCATGTCTTGACTATTATAAATTATGCTGCAATGAATATGGGGTTGCAGATATCTCTTTGAGATAATGATTTCATTTCCTTTGGATACATAGCCAGAAATGGGATTGCTGGGTTATATGGTAGTTCTATTTTTAATTTCTTAAGGAATCTCTATACGGTTTTTTACAGTGGGTACACCAATTTACATTCCCAGTAATAGTGGGAATATACACATATATAATGCAATACTATTCAGACATAAAATGGAAGGAAATTCTGTCATTTGGGACAACATAGATGGAAGGCACTACGCTAAGTGAAGTAAGAAAGAGGAAGACAAATATTGCATGATCGTATCAGTGGAATCTAAAAAGGCAGAACACAGAAAGAAATAGTAGAATGATGGTTTCCAGGGGCTGGAGGGTGGGGGATATAGGGAGATGTTGAATAAAGGGTATAAATGTTCAGTTATAAATAAGCTCTGATGATCTAATGTACAGCATGGTAATAATAGTTAACAATATTGTATTATACACTTATAAGTTGCTAACAGAATAAATCTTAAATATTCTCATCACACACACACACACAGAGAAAGGCAAAATATATGTGGTGATAGATGTGGTTAACTAACCTTATTGTGGAAATCATTTTGCAATACATAGGTGGATCAAGTCATCCCACTGGATAACTTAAACTTATACAATGTCAGGATCAGTTATATCTCAATAAAGCTGGAAAAAAATTTTTCTCAGCAATGCTTTGCAGCTTTCAATGTACAGATCTTGCATGTTTTTGTTGGTTTCTATTCTTGTTTCATATTTTGGAGGCTATGGAATTATTTTTATTACAGTTTCCAATTGTTCATTGGCAAGAGAATGAAGGACAATTGATTTTTTCATTAAACATTTTGTTTTGAGATAACTGTAGATACACACACAGTTGTAAAAAATGAAACAGAGATTCTTTGTACCTTTAGAAAAAAAGAACTGAGGACAAATGTAAGGTATAGCTCAAACCTAAGTAAATAATATAAATAATGTTAAGATTTTTAGTGATATTAAACAGATCCAAGAAAAAGGACTGTATGATAACAGTTAGGTTAAACCAAATGACTGCACAGCCAAACCTAAAGAATGCAAAGACAATGACAATATAGAAAAATGTCTAGAGGGATGTATCACAGTGCTCTGTCCTTACCCATAGAGTTGGAAAAAAGTTAAAATACTGAAAAACCAAGTTAATATTAATTACTGATTACTCGTCTACGGCCATACCACCCTGAACACGCCCGATCTCGTCTAATTACTGATTACTCTGACAAGCTAAAATACTTGGCAAAAAAAAAATTGAACAATCATAATAAATAAATATGAAGTCCTGACATTAAGAATAAAAAGCAATTCTATTATACAAGGATGATGTAAATCTAGTTAACAGCAGTTTATGTAAAAAAAAGATCTAGGACTAACAGCAAAATATCGCTGATTTTTAAAAAGCAAATACAATGATACTGAACAGCAGAAATAGCCAAATCAAAAGAAATAGTACATCACACTTTAAGATGTTTTTCAAAGTACATCTAAATGACTATGTGTAGTCTTAGGCAATGCATTTTAAGAAGCATGCTGTCATGCGGTAGAGTTTTTAGAGAAGAGGTCTAGACAGAACTGAAGCAACCTAGCATGCACACTAGATATATCACATGGAGACCCATCAAAGGAACTGAGGCTGTTTTACTTAGAAAAGAGAGAGAATTTGTGAGTAGGAGTTGGAAACAGCTGAATTCACATATCTGAAGGGCAGCAGTGTTAGAGAGCAGTCTCTTGCTTTGGAAGACTAAGAACTAAGATCAACACAGAAGTTACAAGGAAAGGCACTTCTCCCTAATACAAGGAACTAAAAAAAGAAAAAGCCAACAAGAGAATAGTCTGTACTCAAAATGGAGTTTAATACCTCCAAAGACTTAACAGATGTTAAGGCATAGACTTAACAGATGGCCAACACCCAGGGGTATTTCAGAACTGATTCTTGCACTTGATGAGATGACTACCAAGATTTTTTCTCACTGTAAGCTTATCATTCTAATTTTTAATAAATACAAGTCATGTGAGGATCACAGACATTCTGAATCATTACTCCTTTTCATTCCCCAATCCCAAAGCCAGGCAGAATTAACTCTTCCTCCAAGTCTCTCCCCATGATGTAACTGTTTCTTTTCTCGATCCTCATATATATAAGGCTTCTTTCTTTCACCTCTTCCAGCTCTGTCAAGTATTTAATCCTCAGGTTAGGACGTTTCTTTTGCCATCATTATCCCACTCTCCCCCCCGCCAAGTCATCCCCACTACCTTCCATCTCAGGCGCTCATCCCGCTCCTCTTGGAATCTGGACACCAGGGTTTCCCAAGCAGCGTATCTGGGTCCTCTTTCTGGAGCCCAGATGTCCAGCAGGGGTCTGAGCCCTTATACACGCTGAAGTTGGTTGCCCTTAAAGACACAAGATGGGGTCAGCGGCAACCGTTACACAATCACACCTTAAAAGAGTTCTGCATAGTGGTCAAGAGATCCTTGGAAAAGAGAAATGCCCAGAGAGAGCATTAAAGAGGCAAGTGGCACTCCCGCCACCGAACAAAAACAGAATGGAGATCGAGTACGCAGGTTTGGCCGCAGATTAAAAAAAATAAATAAATACCCTGCCGCCTACCCTAGAATCCGGCTAGAGGCGCCCATTTACTCGAACGGTTACCTCAGTGCACACTTGCGGGCTCACACCCCCGCGGGCTCAAGAAGACACACCTGTTGCGGAGCAGAAAAGCTGAAGGTGGACAAACAGGGCGGGGCCCGGCTCTAGGCCTTCCTCCTAGGCCTTAACAAAAGAACAAAGCCCTCCCAGAGATCGGGGCGGAACAGCCCCCACACTGAAGAAGGCGAGGGGCGCCCTCTTCGAGGACTCCCCAGCTCCCTCCCGCAGAGGCCGCTCCTAGCCTAGAGTGAGAGGGGTGACGTCACGCGGCCGGAGGGCTGCCGGTTGCCATAGTGATACCTGGGCTTCCCTCTAGAGCCTTCCCTCACTCCAATCCCGGGTCCGGAAGCTCTGGGACAATCACCAAACCTAGGGAAGGGAGCCAAAGCAGCTGGACTTTTCCTTCGGCCAACCTCTTTTCATGCCTACAGCCGGCTTCAACGGCCACTTCCGGTCGTGCGGAGAGAACCCCACCCCCCACTTACTAGCGGTAAACGGCGCTCCGAGGGCATGCAGGACTATGATTCCCAGAATGCTCCACGACGCTAAACTCCATTTCCCAGAGGCCTCAGCCAACGTGTGAGATCTCGTTGAGCGGGATCAAGCAATTCTACCCGCGAATGTTTGTTCCTAAATGTCTCAGGTAAAAGTCTTCGTTAGAGCTGTGGCTCTCAAGATTTTGTGACTGGACTGATTGTAAGAATACACTTTTATATACAAATATAACTCAGAAACGTAAATAAGCATTTCATAATGCATTACTTGCCCTTATTCTTTGTCCGGCATTGTATTTAGTGTTCTGTTCCTTTGTTTAAAAAATTCTAGTCCTGACTCTAAAATAGGTTGCGACGCACGTTTTAAACCGTGAAGTGGTCTTACCATGTTTTGCCCTACGGTAGTGCATTGTATTTGCCTACTTCAACCAGCATGTAGTTGCGAATGGAGCCCAACGCCAGTCGGTGTGTCCTTGGCAGAAAAAAATCCAACTGAAGTAGGTAGGTTTCTATATTTTTAAACATGTGGCCCAAGCACTTTACTTCTGTGCGTCTCCGTATTTGTATAGTCGGGCTAAGGTCAAGTCACCCAGTCTGTTAACTGACAAAACACTGAATTTGAAAATTACAACACTGAGTATATGAAGAACAATTATAGTAAAAGGAAAAGGAACAATATCTAGAAGCAGATTTCAGAAAAGACCTACTGTGAGAAATAGAAAATTTCAGTAAACAATTCTTAGTAGGTTGTAAGAAGACATGGCCTAAATGAAACGACTGAAAGCTGTGAGAAGACAAGTTGAAATAAAAACACTGGATGAAAGGGGTTTAAAACACGTGCAAGCATGTTTAAAATGAAGGAAGATAATTAAAATCATACTGGAGAAGAACAGAATTGATGCTGTAGTAAAGTGAATCAGTTGTATGCAGGATATTCTTTTAAAGCTGTGTGAATCATAAGAAAAACATGAATGAAATAGAAGGAAGTGATAGATACATATAAAGGACAGAGGATGAAAAGCCAACATGTGTATGATTCCCCATCAGGAAGGAGAGAACACATGAAATCAGCTATCATTTAATAGTTTCTATGTGCCAGGCAGTGTTCTGACTGCTTTATACATAACATTTAATTCTTAAAACGATCTTTATTAAGTTGTTTATTATTATTTCTTCTTTACTACAGAGGAAATTAAGCCACAGATAAGTTGAGTAGCCTGTCCGAGGTGACATAACCAGTAAATGAGGAAGCTGGGACTTGAATTTAGTAATTTGGTCCTAACCTCCCATTTTTAATCTCTAATAAACAATAGGATCGCTAGTAAAGAGATGAACAATTTCCTAAGTTTAAGAAGAATGCACCTCATTCATTGCTAGTGAGAGTGCAAAATGGTACAGCTACATTGGAAGACAGTTTAGCAGTTTCTTTCAAAACTAAGTACACTCTTACAACATGATCCAGCAATTGTACTCCTTGGTATTTACCTAAATGAACTGAAAAGTTAGACAAACACAAACACCTAATTGCCAAAACTTGGAAGCAACCAAGATGTTCTTCAATAGGTGAATGGTTAAATAGACTGGTATATCCCTGCTGTGTAATATTATTCAGCAATGAAAGGAGTTGGCAAGCTCCAGCAGTTGGTGAAGGACAGGGAAGCCTGGGGTGCTGCAGTTCGTGGGGCCGCAAGGAGTCGGACTGAATGACTGAATTGAACTGAATGAAAGGAAATGAGCAATCAAGCTACCAAAAAAACACGCACATTAAATGCAAGTTGGTGAGTGAAACAAGTTAAAGCGAAAAGGTTACATACTGTAGGAGTCCAACTATATAATATTAAGGGAAAGTTAAACTATGAAAACAGTAAACATCCATGGTTGCTAGGGGTTTGGAAAGGGAAGGAGGGATGAATGGATATAGCACGGGATTTTTAGGGCACTGAAATTATTTTGTATGACATTGTGGTGGTGGATATATCATTGTACATTTGTCCAACTCTCCTATAGAGTGTCAAACAGTAAAGAGTGAACCCCTAATGTAAACTGTGGTCAGTAATAATTTATCAATATTTTCTCATCAGTTGTAGCAAATGTATTGTACTAATGCAAGATGTTAATAGGAAAAATTGGGTAGTGGAGGGGGGCAGTGGTGAGCCCAGATGGGAATTTTCTGTAAACCTAAAACTGTTTTTTTAAGTATATTAATTTTAAAAATATATAATTGTTAAAAGTGTTTCTGGTAAGGTCTCAGCGGGAAATGAGGGACATCTCATTAGAAATTGGAAATTAGAAATTGGATATCTAATTAGAAAAGTGATTCCTGTAAAGTAACAGAACTTGGCTGAATTGTGTTCTTCTGTGGGATGAAAAACAATTTGTAAGCAATAAACTTGAATATTTAGCTGAGCAAATTTCCTAGATAAATGTCAATGTGCTCCCTGGTTTCTCTGCGCTGTTTATAGTACAAAATGTAAGGAAAAAGACAATAGAGGAAAGAAGTGTTAAGCAGAGTAAGCAAAGAGAAACCATTTTATAATGGTTTGGAAAAATTTCAGCTACACCTTCTACAAACAAGGCTTCCAATACAAGTTGAAATATGCATGTATTGAAAAAATGTGTATGTAAAATTTCTGTCCTCAGTGACTTCTCTTCATAGTGTTAGCAACTGGGTGTACATATAAAAAAGTAAGCAACCATTGTAAGCAGCATATAGATATTTCCTGAGTATATAGGCACAATATTGAGTACCAACCATATGCCAAGTACCCATAAGAAACACTCTCTGCATATTAAGTATAATTTAGTGAATAAAAGCCAAGGTTTATTGAGTCTACTTGGTTACTAGCTATAAATACTTTACTTGAACCAACTCATTTAATTGATTCAGGGTGCCAAACAGAAAATTCATAGGTTAATAAGAGTTCCAAAGAGTAGCAAGGAGAGATAAGAAAGCCTTCCTCAGTGATCAATGCAAAGAAATAGAGGAAAACAATAGAATGGGGAAGACTAGAGATCACTTCAAGAAAATTAGAGATACGAAGGAAACATTTCATGGAAAGATGAACACAATAAAGGACAGAAATGGTATGGACCCATCTGAAGCAGAAGCTATTAAGAAGAGGTGGCAAGAATACACAGAAGAGCTATACAAGAAAGATCTTCATGACCCAGATAACCACGATGGTGTGATCACTCACCTAGAGCCAGACATCCTAGAATGCGATGTCAAGTGGGCATTAGGAAGCATCACTACAAACAAAGCTAGTGGAGGTGATAGAATTCCAGTTGAGCTATTTCAAATCCTAAAAGATGATGCCGTGAAGGTGCTGCACTCAATATGCCAGCAAATCTGGAAAACCTAGCAGTGGCCACAGGACTGGAAAAGGTCAGTTTTCATTTCAATCCCAAAGAAAGGCAATGCCAAAGAATATTCAGACTACCACACAGTTGCACTCAAATCACACACTAGCAAAGTAAAGCTCAAAATTCTCTAAGCCAGGCTTCAACAGTATGTGAACTGTGAACTTCCAGATGTTCAAGCTGGATTTAGAAAAGGCAGAGGAACCAGAGATCAAGTTGCCAGCATCTGCTGGATTATTGAAAAAGCAAGAGAGTTCCAGAAAAACATCTACTCCTGCTATATTGACTATGTCAAAGCATTTGACTGTGTGGATCACAACAAACTGTGGAAAATTCTTCAAGAGATGGGAGTACCAGACCATCTGACCCACCTTTTGAGAAGTTAAGAAGCAACAGTTACAACTGGACATGGAACAACAGACTGGTTCCAAATGGGGAAAGGAGTACGTCAAGGCTGTATATTGTCACCCTGCTTATTTAACTTATTTGCAGAGTACATCATGCAAAATGCTCGGCTGGATGAAGCACAAGCTGGAATCAAGATTGCCAGGAGAAATATCAATAACCTGTTACACAGATGACACCACTCTTATGGCAGAAAGCGAAGAAGAACTAAAGAGCCTCTTGATGAAAGTGAAAGAGGATAATGAAAAAGTTGGCTTAAAACTCAACAGTCAGAAAACTAAGATCATGGCATCTGGTCCCATCACTTCATGGCAAATAGATGGGGGAACAATGGAAACAATGAGAAACTTTATT